GAAAAGGGTTCCGTGGCCAAATAAAATTGGGACACACTGCTCTGGGGCATCTGGTATTAGTCACTGTCAGCAGACAGGATACTGGGCTAGATGGATCTTTGGTCTGACCCAGTATGGCCGTTCTTGTGTTCTTATGTTCTTACTGTACAGTTAGCAAAAAAAATATATTTCTTGCTTCCCCAAGTGGCATTCAATTCAGAAGGTTAATGGTACAATGTCTGACAGAACGCTGCTTAAATTCTTAACAAGTATGTATATTTAAAAAAAACCCTTCTGTCCCATTACATTAATGGTAATTCTTTATTCACGACCCTTTTCCTGTTCTAAGTACAGCCAGTCCCCGGGTTACGTACAAGATAGGGACTGTAGGTTTGTTCTTAAGTTGAATTTGTATGTAAGTCGGAACTGGCTTCCAGGTTCAGCCGCTGCTGAAACTGACCAGCGGCTGACTACAGGAAGCCCAAGGCAGAGTTGCTCTGCCCTGGGCTCCCTGGAATCAGCCGCTGATCAGTTTCAACAGCAGCTGAATTTGGACGCCTGGGACAGAGCAGCTGGGGCGCTGCCGGGTAGGTCCCTGCAGCGCTGCACCTCAGTACTACTGGACCAACCCGGCGGCACCCCAGCTGCTCTACCCAAGGTGTCCCCAAGTCAGCCGCTGCTGAAACTGACCAGCGGCTGATTCCGGGAAGCCCGGGGCAGAGCAGCTCTGCCCCGGGCTTCCCGGAATCAGCCGCTGGTCAATTTCAGCAGCAGCTGAATTGGGGATGCCTGGGGTTCTTAAGTTGAATCTGTATGTAAGTCAGAACTGGCGTCCAGATTCAGCCGCTGTTGAAACTGATCAGTTTCAGTAGCCATACAGATTCAACTTAAGAACAAACCTACAGTCCCTATTTTGTACAAACCTACAGTCCCTATTTTGTACGTAACCCGGGGACTGCCTGTACTGTTCTTAAGGCTGTTGACAAGTTCTGCTACCTTGGAAGCATACAATCCTCAAGCATAAACAGTAATGACTGTGTTACCGCTTAATTTAGCCAAATACAGCACTGCCTTCAGAAAATTGACCAAATGCTTATATAAAATGACTCTGGCATTAAATTGCTACCTCTGTAGGAAGTTCATCAGGCAGTTGTCCTGACTATCCTTCTGTATGGTTCAGAGTCATAGATCATATATTGTCACCATATTTCATGCAAAGCCACGGAGGGGCTGGGGCAGCAGGAAGGGCTCAGGCAGCGGGGCAGCCCAGGCGCGCCTGGGCTGCCCCGCTGCCTGAGCCCTTCCGCGGCTTTGCTCCGCGTCTTCCTGGTCTGCAGACCCGGGAGACGCGGAGCAGCTTTTCTCGCCCCGGAGTACATGGGCGGCGGGACCGCGAGGTCCTGCAGTCTGTGTCCTCCGGGGCGAGAAAAGCCCCGTTCGTAACTGCGGATCCGACATAAGTCGGATCCGCGTAAGTTGGGGACTGCCTGTACCTCAGTACTCAGTTGCTATGATGTAATGTAGACTAGGTGTGTCTTCTACATCATTGTAACTGAGGCTGGACAGAACTTCTCTGTTTGCCCCTTACTTGTTCTACTGCTCTAAGCAAACCCCCCTACCATGCGGATAAAGCATTGGTTATCTGCACGTTCAGTCTCATTTCAACCAATCTCAAATGTTGCTGAAATTCACAACCTTCCAAATTCAGCTACAATACCATTAGTGCACAGAGTTGTCACTCCATGCACGAACATATCATACTACTTGATTTCTTTATTCTTCCCGTTATAGCCAAGAATTAATTTAATCTCAGGTAACAAACAGGCATTTCAGAATTTTAGATGTTAAATTACAAAAACTCCAAAAAGGCCTCTATCAATAACTGCATTGTGCAGCTTTAAGAAATAATTCTTAAGCAGAATATTTATACTTAGTAAAAAAAGTCTCATGCCACAACAGATATTGCTACCATTAAAACATTTTAAGAATGTGTAAACTTTTAAGCTCTTCCACTAATAAGACCACCATTCCTGGACACATACAAAAAGCAATTCTTTGAAATGGCTGCCTTTCTTTCAAGTTTTTGTGGCAATGGTGAGTTTCACTGAAATTTAAAGTTGATCTCAGCTTTGAGCTAAATTATTTCACTTTTTTTTTTAAACTGCAAGCACTCTCTCGAAGCCTCTGTGTCCCAGAATGTTTGGTAATTTAAACAGTACTGAAGTACAGTATTACTGACTCAGATTTATTAACAGTAACAATTCTTCCCTGTGAACTTCCTATCTAAACATAACTAGAACAAACAAAAACAGCTTGTAGTTATCTGTTTGGAAGGAAGGCTGGCTCTCTTCTTAAGTCACAGGAATAGGAATCAGGAAATATGGGCTCTGTTTCCTCTCAGTCACAGACTCACTTTGTCACCTTAGGTAAATCACTTAACTTTGCATGCCTAATGTACTGAAAGAGGAACAACTTTTCTTAATTTGCAGGGCTTAATTGGAGCCTCTTCCAAAACCCACTGAAGTCAGCTGAAGTTTTTCCGATAAGCCAGGCCTTTAGTAATTATTTTCAATGAGCTTTTTAGAATGGAAGATGACATTCAAATTATAATTGTTATAATGTAAGAATTGTTATGGCAAAGAATAAATATCATCAGGTTTTGACAATAAGAAATATTGCAAGTAAGATAAGAAAATTTTTCCCAATAAACTGTCATGTGTAATTTTAAATTGGAAGCAGTGTTTGGGCAATTATTCTGCAAACCATTCTTTAAAAAGAAAACTCTGCAGAAACAGTTTCTAATGAGCACAGTTCCATCTATTCCTCCTCTTCCCCAATGCACATATGGGCATTTTATACAAGAATTTTATCTAAAATTCAAACAAGAGTTGGACTTTTCAGCTAAGAAGAGAGGAGACCTGAGGGGTGGGGAGTGAAGATATAACAGAAGTCTATAAAATCATGACTGGTGTGGAAGAACTTACTTACTTATTCCCACAATTTAAGAACTAGGAATTACCACATGAAATTTATAGGCAGCAGGTTTTAAAACGAACAAAAGGAAGTTTTTTTTCCCCACTCAGTGCACAGTCAACCTGTGGAACTCCTTGCCAGAGGATAATGTTGTGAAGACTAGGACTTTAACAGGGTTCAAAAAAGAGCTAGATAGAGGAGGTTCAGTCCATCCATCAGGATGGGTAGGAGTTGTGTCCCTAGGCTCTGTTCATCTGGAAATAGATGACAGGAGAGAGATCACATGATGGATACCTATTGTGTTTACTCCCTCTGAGGCATTTGGCATTGGCCACTGTCAGCAGACAGGATATTGGGCTAGATGGACCTATGGCCATTCTTCTGTACTTAACTGCATAGCAGCAAAGTGGTTGACCATACCAGAAGGTCAATCTACTCTCACTATTAGTACACAAGAGAGCTGCACCTGTAATTTTTCATCAGAAACCAATCCTCACTTTCACTTGGTTGTTGATCCTAAAAAGTCCACCCTGAACTTCCCCTTAAATCCTGTGTGTTGTGTATCTTCCACTGTGTTGTTACTAAGCTTTAATAATGGCCTTGTGAAATCTGTTTCATGCAAAAATAATAGATCACAGCATCAATGAGATCTGATCAAAGAGGTAAGAAATTTTGAAGTTACTTTGAAAACTTCTAGCATGTTTAATACTGCAGAATTGTCATTCCTTTTTACCACTATTATTTCTAATAATAATATTCTATTATTTGTATTTCTATTTTACCACTATTATTATTTGCAGGCAAATCATCAAAACCAACAATTCTCAGGGCATAAACAATTTCCTCGGAGATTTTCACTCATCTTTTGCAACTAATAAACAAGAGCAGGACAGATGATCTCAGAAGATCAGTGCCACAACATTCATGTACATTAATACTTAAAGCAAGTAGTCTATGCTCCTTTCAATATCTAAAATGAAAAACTCCAGGATTCACACTTCAAAATAGGATATTATAAGACAGCAAGTAAACAGATTACAATCTACATTTCATTAAATTGAGCATTTGATGTAAAACTCAGAAACTAATTGGCTGATTCTTTCTGCCAAGAGCATTCCTCTGATCTTTCTTCTTACAAAACCAATGAACCTTCTGGCTAAAATTGAGCAAATCAACTTAATATTAAGGAGCAGGAACTCTGTTCCTCTTTTGCAGACAACTACACGCAATTATTACGTAATAGAACCTTATATTAAACACCACACACTTTTTCTTAATTGTGCTACCTGGAAACATAGCAAAGGGGTATCTTAAAAGTTCCATTGGAAATTTGATTTTTAATAATATTTTTCAATCAGCAAAACCAAATTAAAAAAAAAAATCAGACAACAGAAGGAACAAGAAAATCTTGAAATTATATTGCTCATAAAAATGTGCTTCCCAAGTTATGAGGAGGTATCAGATAAGGAAAAATCCAACTAAAATGTTGAGGAAATGTGTCATATGACAATTGCAGGAAACTGTCATCTCTCCGCTTTATTTACGCCAATGAAAATTAGTCTGTAATGCTTCTTTTCTATCACATTTCTCAAACAATGAAAATTTTTTAAATTAAAAAGGTATACACTGATCCATATAGCACAATCATGATCCAGCAACCCACTCCTCTCCATCAAGCTCTGGGTAAGTTCAGCTCTGGATGCAAACCCTATGGTACAGGCACAGGTAAAAGTAAGCGGGTGCACCCTGTTGTGTAGCTCCAGCAAGAGCTAGCAGGGAGCTATTTAAAGAGCTGACAAGGACATTAGCTCTAAGAAATTTTAAGATACTTTCACTGCTGGGTACAGGCAAATCTTTGTTACATTTTAACAGATTTTAAACCTTTTCTGTAATAATTTTAGGAATTCCCAAACTAAGTTGGAGAACAACTTTTGTTTCAGGCAAGTTTGAAAAGAAATAAGAGTCAATCAACTCCATCCTACATACATATGAACTTTTTGCAAATTCAGTGTATGACGTGCCATTTAAGAGGCAATTTTGCCACTTACCCATAGGCATTTTTCCTTAAAAGAAAGACCAAGAAAGCAACATTATTTTCTTCTAAATCCTGGGCTCAAAATAAGAACTTTAAACTACAAATCCTCAGTGAAGCTCCTCTTGTCTTTTTCATTCTTTTCCTTCATTCCAAGTAGAGTTTTCCTATGTTGTCCTGAGACAAGCTTCCAGTTAATATCCCACCATAGAGCTCATGAACTGGAAAGAAAAGAAATAAATCCTTCCACATTCTCTTTTCTTCTGTAGTAGGTAAAGGGCTGAGCTGTAAAATTTCCCGCCTAGGGGATACACAACCTACAACTGAGAGACTGGTAAGACAACCTGTTTCAGATTGTATAGCACAAACAGAAAAATTCTCCTCCTTCCCCCCCCCCTACTTTCTACGCCACACTTCCTCTAAGCCCAGTTTTAAGGAGGCCACAAGTTTAAAATCAGTTTCTCTTCCTCTGTCCAGACATACTTACAGCTATCAGACCTTTCATTGCTGAACAATGCTGCACATTCACTATTGAGCTCTGAAGCACAGCGAATCTCTAGGAGGTCACTATATTGGTATTATTTCACAGAGTGCAGCCTGTTACCACAGCTATTAGCTGGCATGCTCACTTTTCAAATCACAATCTCTCTGGAAACCCTGACTACCATTATTTTATTACAAAGAGCCACATGTTAAAAGGAGTGGCTAAGGTTGCTCCTATTCCTTTTCTTTTGCTTTAAATATATATTCAGGTTCTCCTTCAAAAAAGGTCTTTTTATAGTAAATCTATAGAAATAATGTATCTATATAACATATATGTATACTTTATCAAAGCATTCACATCAGCAATAAAGGTGAGAGATTACCACTGACTATTTTTACCAGATATTTAAATGCATGAACTAATTTGGAATTAGCAATTTTAAGTAATTTCACACTTATTACATTTTTTGAAGTGTTATCCCATTTGATATAATTTTTTTTTAATAAAAAAAGAATCGAGTGGATTTTTTCCCTGGCAGTGTTCTTTCTTTCCATTATATTTTATATTAAGCAATGATTGTGACCAATAGTAATAATATATTTTCCAATCAGACTCCATTAATGGCCTAATAAAAAAAACTATAGCATCAGGACCATATGTTCTCTTAAGCCCATAGATTTCAAAGAAAGAACAACTAGTTCAATTTGTCTGTGTATTTGACCAATATAATCCTAGTTACTATAGTTTCAACCGGGAAGCTCTTTCAGCTGTCTAAAATACCCCCAATTTACTAATCCAAAATACAGTACTAAAAACATTTTAACTATGTACTAAACATGCCAATTATAAATTAATTGCAGGATATTTTCAAGTCTAAAAAATGTTTTTGGGAAGCTATCATTTCCTGTAACTAGAGCAGAATTATTTCAAAACCATCATCAACGGGAATGGCTTCCAAGCACAAAAAGCTTGGACACTCTACAACAAGGAAAGCCAAGATGATCACGGTCAGATTATTGCTATTACTATGGCAACTGTGGGGGTGCTCTGAAAAAGCCTAAGAACTGAAAGGACAAGTTGTAACATTTGTTTTAACACAGAAAAACAAAACTGCTACCCAGACACATCAGAGTTATTACAGAATTATAATACTGACAGTGACATTATAAGTATCAGAGGGGCAAATCCCACCTATAACTCCAGAGTCATGGAGGGCTTCTCCTTATAGTTACAAGTTCAAGAGTATCTTTTGTATTCATTTAGCGACAAATTCTGCTTTGCTGCTGGAATTTTAATGTAAAATCTTAACTAGATCAATAAAATAAAAAACAAATTCTCTAAGGGGCACTATATTTTACCCTGCCATATAAATTAACTTTATTTGATTATTTTTTCCATGTATAGCTAGTAAAATCTTATTGATATCTTTTTTCCTTCTCTACTGTAAGACTTCTTAATCAAATTCAAAATGAGATTTAAGACTCTACTGCAACTAATATTTTGGAGTTTATTCTGTAAGCACAACCAGTTTTAAGATTGTAAAAACAAGACAAAAACAATAAATGTGGTAGTTTTTTCCTCCATGATAATTTGGAACACAAGATCACAGATGATTCAGGATCATAATGTAGTTTTATGTACTACAGACATGGAAACATAGGGTATGTCTACACTGCCACCCTAGTTCGAACTAGGGTAGCTAATGTAGGCATTCGAAGTTGCAAATGAAGCCCGCCATTTTTAAATTCCCCTTAGTGCGGACTCCGTGCCAGCGGCTACACGCGGCACGGAGTAGGTAGTTTAAATTAGGCTCTCTAATTTGAGCTACCGGTATACCTAGTCCCAGCACCCTTGAGACCCAGATGAGGAACTTTGCTGGACCAGGAGAGGTCATTTCTGGACCCGCTGGCTTCCTGGCTGGCTTCCCATTAGCTTGCTGCAGGCAGCCCACTGCCCTGCCAGGCCCACAGGGATCCTTGCCATTGAGTGTTATCCCATTTGATATAATTTTTTTTTAATAAAAAAAGAATCGAGTGGATTTTTTCCCTGGCAGTGTTCTTTCTTTCCATTATATTTTATATTAAGCAATGATTGTGACCAATAGTAATAATATATTTTCCAATCAGACTCCATTAATGGCCTAATAAAAAAAACTATAGCATCAGGACCATATGTTCTCTTAAGCCCATAGATTTCAAAGAAAGAACAACTAGTTCAATTTGTCTGTGTATTTGACCAATATAATCCTAGTTACTATAGTTTCAACCGGGAAGCTCTTTCAGCTGTCTAAAATACCCCCAATTTACTAATCCAAAATACAGTACTAAAAACATTTTAACTATGTACTAAACATGCCAATTATAAATTAATTGCAGGATATTTTCAAGTCTAAAAAATGTTTTTGGGAAGCTATCATTTCCTGTAACTAGAGCAGAATTATTTCAAAACCATCATCAACGGGAATGGCTTCCAAGCACAAAAAGCTTGGACACTCTACAACAAGGAAAGCCAAGATGATCACGGTCAGATTATTGCTATTACTATGGCAACTGTGGGGGTGCTCTGAAAAAGCCTAAGAACTGAAAGGACAAGTTGTAACATTTGTTTTAACACAGAAAAACAAAACTGCTACCCAGACACATCAGAGTTATTACAGAATTATAATACTGACAGTGACATTATAAGTATCAGAGGGGCAAATCCCACCTATAACTCCAGAGTCATGGAGGGCTTCTCCTTATAGTTACAAGTTCAAGAGTATCTTTTGTATTCATTTAGCGACAAATTCTGCTTTGCTGCTGGAATTTTAATGTAAAATCTTAACTAGATCAATAAAATAAAAAACAAATTCTCTAAGGGGCACTATATTTTACCCTGCCATATAAATTAACTTTATTTGATTATTTTTTCCATGTATAGCTAGTAAAATCTTATTGATATCTTTTTTCCTTCTCTACTGTAAGACTTCTTAATCAAATTCAAAATGAGATTTAAGACTCTACTGCAACTAATATTTTGGAGTTTATTCTGTAAGCACAACCAGTTTTAAGATTGTAAAAACAAGACAAAAACAATAAATGTGGTAGTTTTTTCCTCCATGATAATTTGGAACACAAGATCACAGATGATTCAGGATCATAATGTAGTTTTATGTACTACAGACATGGAAACATAGGGTATGTCTACACTGCCACCCTAGTTCGAACTAGGGTAGCTAATGTAGGCATTCGAAGTTGCAAATGAAGCCCGCCATTTTTAAATTCCCCTTAGTGCGGACTCCGTGCCAGCGGCTACACGCGGCACGGAGTAGGTAGTTTAAATTAGGCTCTCTAATTTGAGCTACCGGTATACCTAGTCCCAGCACCCTTGAGACCCAGATGAGGAACTTTGCTGGACCAGGAGAGGTCATTTCTGGACCCGCTGGCTTCCTGGCTGGCTTCCCATTAGCTTGCTGCAGGCAGCCCACTGCCCTGCCAGGCCCACAGGGATCCTTGCCATTGGTCCTCCACCAGGACTCTCTGGTCCTGCAACATCCAACTAGAGAATCCCAGTTAAGAGAGTTTCAACCTGTACAAATGTTCATAACTTTAGACTAGGACAATGTATCATAAATACATTCATTTGGGCACCCAGAAAGAATCCATAACCTTAGTGGAGCTATAGCTTCTCTTCCTGCTGCAGTATGAATTTATAAGCTCTACAGGGGTGTGAGGATAAACGAATATTGGGAAAGTCTTTGAAATACTTTCAAAGAAGTTTCTGTATGAGGAGACAGTTGTGTTTTAATGTGTATATGCATGGGGGGAGCTGTAAACTGTTACTATCTTCCAACATCTTTTCACGTATTTACCCCTGCTAGTCCTAAATACTAACACCACATGTTGTTACAACCTGATAGTGATCTTGCTTTGTAGTTAAAGACTGGTGGATGAAAAATTAATCTGTCATCGTACCCAGCTGTTACAAAACTTCCATTTATAATGGGAGATGTTGAAAAGGTTAAGTAGTGTTGCTCTAATGTTATACTTTCAAGGTTAAAGGGCTCCAGGTGTGATAAAAGTAGGATTGGTATTAAATTGCAGAAACCTCCAGAAAGATCTAATTGCTTTGATGAACAGAAACCTTATGACAGAGAGGACAGACGAAGCTACCTTTTTATTTTAGCAACAAAGAGAACATCATGCACCAGTGATTTGGGAATCTTGGCTTTAAGTACAGAGTTTGGAGCAAAAAGACACCAGGCCATTAAAATACAAACCGTGTAGCATTTCAGTAACGGATGCCTTTGTAAATGTTCAAACTTTTGAATTAAACGGTTTATTACAATGGTAAAGGTGTTTCAGTGTCTCCCTACAAAAAAGTCAGTTGCTTTGATTTTCCTTGATGACTATCTCCCCTCAAAGCTTCCCATAAAACAGAAAATAACCTTTTGACAGATTAGAGTGTTCACCACAAAATATGGGTTGGGGGAGTCAATGGCTTAATTGTGATTCATTAATTTATAAGGCATCTCAAGAAATCTATGCAGGATGCACTTTGTTTTTGTGGCAAATCACTGTGCAGCCGGGTGGGAAGGAAGAGTTGTCTCATAAGCAGATTTTTATAAGTGTACCATATCTTGTTATGCTATGCTTGATTTACACACCAATCATACACGGAAGATGTTCCTTTCTGCTGTACTTCCATTCTCCAGCAGGACCACCAAGGTCAAGAAGAGACACAGATTCTCTCCAACTACAGAAGAGCAGCAAACAATCTCAACTCACAAATTCAAAGCAAATAAACTCAATAAAACCAAATGTTTTGTATTGGTTTAAAGGAGGGAAGGTGTGAACTAAAATCAGCCTAAGAATAAACATGGACAGGGTTGCACAAATGGTCTGGGTTTGAAAAGGCTGGATGATCTCCCTTCAGTTTGGAAAGAAAAGGCACCTAAAAATAGACACACACAAAGTATCTCTTCTATTAAGGAAAAAAAAATGTCAATGGTAGTTACTTGACACCAAAATAATAAATACAATATACTAAAAATAAACCATGGGTCTGAGTTAAGGTTATTTGTTATGTGGACAAAGTCAGATTTATGAGTCTCTTGATTGTTTGGTTATTTCAAGACCTTGCATTTTGGAAATATGACAGTTAGTTACCTTTGGCAGTTAGCACCTTAACATTTTCTTTCTTTTAGAAATAAGATGGAGGGTTATCAGGCCAGAAAATTAAAAGAATGAGCA